TACTTTACTTTACTTTACTTTACTTTACTTTACTTTACTTTACTTTACTTTACTTTATTCAATGATTTATTTACTTTACTTGAGGTCTTATTCGTGCACCGTAGTCTTTGTGGGCATGGATAGACAGGGTCGAAGCAGAGTGCCTCCTTATGTATTCCAATGATTTTTGTTGGTAGGGATATCAGAGAGTGTTTACAATAACATTTATTACTGTAAAACTCTCTGGGGATACAAAATATTAAAATCGTCGACCACCTATTTAATGTGTAAGTCCAACATTTTGAAAATGGTACTTTATTGCAGTTTGTTATAGTGGCATCCGTTGCAAGTGGTCAAGACACTTTTGTTAAAATTCGAAAGTTTATGGAGGAAAAGCAAGAAAGGATATACATTAGGTTCAATTATTTTAAAGAATTAAACAGGTTTTTTAAAATCTCTCCTTAAAAACAAAACAAACTAAAGCAAAAAAAACCCCAAACAACATGCCGTCTGGACTTAGAACATTTCATCAAGCTTGCCGACTCTGTAACAATTAGGTTCCTCCTGTGTTCGTCCACAGACAGTGTGAATCGAGACAGTACCGACTGACCACAGACCAGCAGGAGTACAGCAGCGCCGGGGTGTTTGACCCTGTGTCCAGGAGTTGTCTGCCCCGAGCTGACCTCTGTCCACGGACACAAGACGATGACGTCATACTGGGCTGACCAATCACAGCACGGCACATCCGCTACTGAAGGGATGATGTCCCTAACAATAAATTATTATGCTTATTAAAAAGGTCTTCAATCGAACGTCCTTCTCTCCCCTTTCATCTCCATTCTTCTCCTGTTTTGAGCGAAAATGTTCCTCGGAAATATTCAAAATAATTATTTTGGCTGCTTTTTGCAATTGATTTATATAGAAGAGAGACAAAAAATTACTCCCCCCTCCCCTTTAAAAAAATGTGAGGCAGCGTGGTGGAATCAGGCTCTCGTCAATTTTTGGGCATGTAGAGTTATAGGTATCATCTTAAAGCTTGTTCACTTATCTTTATTTGGATGAAACAAATATCCATTTATCTTGGATGCAAGTCGAGATATTTGCGAATGAAGGAGGTGGGGTTACCTGTTTTCAGCGCTAAAATTAGAGAGAAAGTGGCCGCCAAAGATTACTGATTTCCTCAGCTTAAAGAGTTCATGGTAACATAAAATTTACCCTTTTTGTGCCTTTAATCAACGTTTTTCAGAAAAATCCACACAGAAATTATTTCTTTAAAGGGCATGAAAGGTCTTGAGCCAAAAAATAAAAATTTGATAAAAATTCACAAACCTGCGGAAAAATGCAAGTTTCTTTACTTTGATTATTTTGACGAGAGCCTGATTCCTCCACGCTGCCTCACAATCTATAAAGAAATTACTGTAAAACCGCAAGCACAAACACGAACAAGTTCAGAACCGAAATGATTGGGCGGCAGGAGGGTGTGCTGTGAAACAGTCGTCTGTGAATAAATGCTGAAGTGGGAAACAAGGGGGTAGGGTGGGGAAGAAAAGTGAAGTTCAGTGAAAGGAGAAAAAAAAAGATCACCACATAATGTACCTGTACATCTTGCTATTATGTGAAGAGAAAAGAAAATAACGTTTTCAGACGAGGGGCAGAAGATGTTCGGTCTGATGTCCAAGCACGATAGATCTACTGATATTATATATAATTATTAAAGAGGAAGTTATACTCTTTTGCTTTGTAATGTTATATTTTCTTTGACCTTTGCCGAAATACGCATACGAAAGCATTGTATGTTTACTTGTTTTAAAATGAACATAAAAGTTGTTGAGCCCCCCCCCCCCCCCCCC